ATCTTATCCATTATGGAATTTACTAGTATTATTGTTTACTGTTCGTTAACTGTACTGCAAGCACACGCATTCACCAAGTATATGTATATATCTATTTATATATGAATTTCGCAAATGCTAACGAACATGTCATGGTTTATTATGTTCATAAATTTTTTATTTGAAATTATAACAAGTTTTGATTTTTTTTTAAATTCCTGAATCATGCTTGCAGGTGCTAAACTTTATACAACACGCATGCATTCCATACATCCGGATCTAACTTTGTATCCTTCTTATTGTTGCTGTTATATTTTGTTATCCTTATTGTTGACATTATCCATTATTTACATTGCTTATATTCATGTAATCGTCCATGAGGACAGTACTGATGGTCCTCTGGACCTCTAAGAGGGGGAGCCGTGTGGAGTCCTCAAAAAAGAAAATAAACTTATCCAAATTTTACTACTATGTAAGAAATGAACATATTGTACACTACTTTGTTTTAACCATAAACTCTGGACTTTGAATTTTACCTCGGGTTTTGAATGAATATATAATTCTGCCTTCGACTCTCCGTCTTCTCCACCATGTCAACTGCCGTCGAACAATTTTAACCACCTGCTTTCTATCTCGAAGTTTTGCATGAGCACCGTAGTTTCTTCCTACATACTTTGGTCGACCTCCGGCAACGTCAACATTGGAGAATTAGTACTGGAGCAGTCTTCCCGCGGCACCTGGAGTCTATTACGTTTATTGTGGACTTTGGATCTTTGTAAACCCAAGTAACGAAACTTTAATATATTCTTCCCGTAACTAAACTGATTTGGTATTTTATTTTCTATTTGAATTTGGGTAACTAAGCTAACAAAGTAAAAGGTCCACCACATGCTTACCTACCGTATATGGAAGGGGTCCATCCTCTAATAGTTACATATATTATTTCAATCCTCCAGCTAGGAAGCACCTCAAAACATTTCGTCCCTCTATATTATAATGCCCATACGATTTATGATCTAACTTGAGAAATGAAATCAAACTGCATTGTTCTACTTCGTCACACGCCAAATGGTGATATGTATTGAGGTTGACTATTAGATGTGTGGAGGCAATCGGCAGCAGGAAACATTAGACCTAGGTTTCTTGCTGGTTGGCACTCATCAGCAAGTAGTATCTGCAACCCTGAAGAAAATCACGTCACATCTGAGATTCGAACCCGCGTCACCCAGTGCCACCTGCAGTAAGAGACGTTACCCCTGAGCTATTCAGCTTCGCGATTGACCTCCCGTAGGACTCTATTGGATATTTAATGTGTTCGTTTAGTCCTACCTTTGGTGCAGACTGAATTCAATCAATCAAGTTTGCAATGTAGCCACCAAGCATGAACGTAATCCTTTAACTAAGTAGTTAATTATAATGATTTGCTTTATTCCAAAACAGTAGTACTAATGATACAGTGTGGAATTTTCATCATTTTTGTACAATATTGCATAATCGTTTTTGATAAATTCTATTCCACTACGTGATGAGATGCAAGGTGGGGCTAGTTGAGAATAGAGGGAGTGTGGAGAGTCAGACAATATGGATTTAGACCATTTCTCATATGAGTTTAAATGTCTGTCAACTACAGTAGTAACAAGCTGACTTAGTGGCACACCACTTACCACACTGACAAGCTTTAATACTCTTCTCAGTATGCCATCATACTCCTTTTTGAGTAGCCCAGCAAAGACTGAGGTGGAGCAGTAAAGTGCAATAGGTAAGATGGAAGAGTTAACAAACTGTAAAAGTAGGAATTCAGTGATACCTACCTGACTGTCTTAACTTCTTAATGTAGTAGGTTAGACGGAACATTTTCTTAGAAATCAACAAAATATGGAATGACCAAGAAGGGTAGGAGGATAGAAGTACTTCAAGGTATTTTATGCTTGACTGAGTTCCTATTCCAGTGCTCTTTATGCTACGTGCATCTTGTGAACGGCCCAGTTCTTGCTGACCACGTTTATGCCTGAAGGTGAAGTTCATTGGTAGACATTTCGTGGGATTTAAGGTAAGACTATTTAACTCCTACCACTGACTGATATCCTACAAAAGGCTACTCAGTTGAGAACAGTCAAATCATCAGTGTATGCAACGAAGTTGATTTCTCTCGAAATAAGTAAGTCATGTAAGAAGAAAGAAAAAAGAAAAGATGAGAGAACAGCACCCTGAGGGACTCCAACTTCAGTGAGTAAGGCAGAGAAGGATTTACCTTTGTAAACAGTAGACAGCTTTCTGTTCAAATGAATGGGAATGCAACCTTTTAACAGCCTGGGACTGGGTTTGTGTCATGGGAAGTTTATTTAACAAAAGACATCCAGGTACAGAGTGAAAAGCAGAAGTATAATCAAGGAAGTTATATCGGGCATATTTAGTCCTTTCGTCTAAGGAGGAAACAGTATTTTGTTGTAAGATAGCAACGGCGTCTAAAGCACATCTGCCCTGTTTATAAGCAAATTGTTTGGGATCAATAAAACCTTTCAAGGAATGTTCAAATTGAGTAAAATTAATTTCCCTACTAATTTCAGAAAAGAAGAGATAATTGCGATAGGTCTAAATTTAACACTCATACCAGAAAATGATTTAGACACTGTGATAATTTTATTATCTTTCCATGCAACGACTACAACATATTGGAAGTAGAAGCATTGAAATTGTTTGTAAGAGGATGACATAAATATATCAGCACATCTTCTGAGGTCAACAGCAGGTACACCATCACGACGATGGTTTTGGGAAGATTTCAGAGATTCGAGATATTTCCTATTAATGATCACATAGTATCTCAATTACTTTTGATTTCATTGATGACATGTTATGCATTGAACATCAATGTGTTGCTATGCTTAGTGCCAGACGTACTAACCACTTGAAGCCACAGTTTGACACAGTGTGCATCTTTCTTACTTATGCCGAGGGAGATGTTTAAAAGTAATGCAGTTTCATGTGTATCTGTTGTCCAGGAGTAGAACGCTTGTCAATCACGCATATGGTCCGCGGTTCAATCCTCGGCTGACGCACTCCTAGACCTGGCTTAGCCTGTAGAAAAGCAGGTAAAGGGAGAAGGTTGAGCGTGAGACTAGGAACCCCACTACCCTGCGAAAATAAAACCAATGCTACCGGAACTTCAAAACTCAAGCTTGAATCCCTTATGTTCCACTAGGAAAAAAAGGATGTTATTGCACGTCGTATCTTTAAAGAGGATTTCAAGTGAATTGTCACCTGTGTAAAACAAAATAGGGTACACTTGATCAGTATTGGAGAAGCAAAAGCGCTTACAGTTATTTTTTACTAATTATATAGTGGGCCTAATTTTTTGGTAGTTCTATGAATCAAGATAAATCCAGTATCTCACATAATTTTCACATCTTACAATTGAAGTGTCCCAGGAGGAGCAATGCAACCATATTCAACGGAGATATGAATATGTGGAGTTCTGAACAACAAGATTGCACAGTTTTTGTCAGATGTTACAAACGGAGACATTGTACATAACTTTTGTTTAAAACTACTTCATTATAAAATATAAAAACTTCGGCGTACGAATGGAAATATGACGTGCTGTCCGTCACTTCGTCATCTCATTGCTTCCAACTGTCCGCTTTCTCTGCTAATAATATAACGACAGAAGACAAAGGCCAGGCCACAGATCGTTTATTGAGAAAATCAACAGATATTCTTAGAATTTTACGTACATTATTGTCTGCGGAGAAGCAACGTCTTCTGATTGGTTGTTTTCTTGCCGAAGGTTATTCGGTACTGCTTGTGACCGTTTCTCAGAAGTTAAGCCATATATCTGCGATTCCTATTTGCACACGTTAAGTTTGCTGTGATTGGTTGGTGAGTCCCTGAAGGTTAAGCTTTGTTACTGTTTTTACCATGACCCTGATTCGGGATTGTAACATTGACGTAAATTGCTGTCTACAATTTTGGCTTCCAACCAGCTCTCACTACAATATTTGTGTTGAACTCTTTGTAATTGGCAGGAATATCTCATTCTCATCCAAAGACTATTCAGGAACAACTTCTAACAGTGTACGTGATCTCAGCAATGAAACGGATCTGTGGATTAAATTATTAATTTGTATCAGTGGAACAGCAACAACAACAGACAACAATCAGCCAGCATACATGGGAGAAATGTGAAAGAAGCAATCTCCTTTATCTACCCACCTACCTACCTATCTCGGAAGCATCCTTTCAACTACAGGCCAGCTGAACTGATTAGAATATCAAAGCGAGGATCGAGAAGCAAAGCAAGCTTTCATTACTCTCAAGTTTGTGTGGAGGTCAACAGCACTACTCAGCATGAAAAACAATATCCGGATTTTCAACTCCAATGTGGTCAGTGCTACTTACTATACGTACGGATCAGAGATTTGGCCAGCGCGTCACGAATGGCACTTCGAACAAACTACAGACCTTCATCAACAACTAGCTGTCTTCGCTCAATATTACTCAAGATCAGATGGCCAGCCAGAAGGGATCAAGAACAGGGATGTCTGGCAATGAACCAAACGACGCAGCAGGAACCGATTGTGCAACAAATATTCAGGGAGAAATGGAGGTTGATTGGCCATACTCTGAGAAAATTAATCATAAAGTGAGCGACATCACACACCAGGCCATTACTCGAGTGGAACACGAATGGGCAGCAATAAGTGGGCCATCGGTGCAAAGATGACAAGAGAGGAGGTGATGTGAAGAGGACATGAAAGTATGTGGGCAGACATGTAGGCAGGTAAATACGTTGAAGGAGAACCGAACGCAATAAAGACGTTTGGCTTAAGCCCCATGTTCCTTTTGGATCTAAAGGAAAGAATAATAATAATAACAGTTATCAGTGGACTAATTTTTGTACCTCGATGTCTGTATTTCTATATAATACACTGACTCAATGTTCTTTCATTAACTCGAATTTTAATTCTGATATTTCGTACTGTTATCGAGCTCATTGATAAGTCTCACAAAAATGTGTCTGAGAATGTCTCACTTTGCATAGTATATTCTCATTGGCTAATTCATATCACCTTCATGAAGAAGAATAACGAGAGCGTTTTACAACGCCTACAACTAGATCGCATGCAGACATGTACACGAAAACACACATAACAAGACGTATATATAAATACACTTTGAAACAATCTTCACACCATACTAGCGTAGACTGAACATCATGTCAATTATCTATTTGTTCAGCTTCATATTACTCGCATTTTCTTATTCCACTGTGAATTCATTAGTCCCGAAACCGACTACATACAAGGAAGGTGAACGTACATGCCGCCTAAATGAAGATTTACCAATTGAACATGCATATTCATATTGTTTGATACTTAACGATGCAGTGGAAGAGTTCAGCAAACGTCTGGTGAAAACATCACAACACCTGCATAATAAAGAAACTTCCTGCAGTATTGACAAAATGACGATTTCCATCACTGATGAATGTGACGAATCATATGGTGATTTGTGGCCAAGTGAGAAGATGAAAGAATCATGTAGGTTCACAACTTTCACACATAACTAACTCATTAACGAAGACAAAATTGTCATATCGGATGAGAAGATCGAAATTACATCTACTGAAGTATGGGGAACATTACATGCACTACAGACTGTCTTACAATTGGCGCACAGAAATGCATTCGGGACTGTGAGTCAATGACCTCATGATTATTCATGTATTGTCAACCTATTTTATCTAGTTAGTAATAAACGAATCTACAATCGAAGATTCACCCCAGTTCACTCACAGAGGATTTGTAGTTAACACTGCTGCTCATTTCATCAGTGTTGATGTGCTGGAGAATTTTCTTGTAAGTCTGCCTTCCATATTGTCTCTCTCTCATTTAACTTCACAACCCATCAGGATGCTATGGCCTTCGTTAAAATGAATGTATTTCATTGGCACATCACAGATGATAGTTCATTCCCGTACGAATCATCCACAGATCCTCAACTCTCGAAAATGGTATTTTCTTTTGTTGCATTTCACCTCATCATTATTCGTTCTACATAGGGTGCTTATCATCCAGTATTTTTAGTCTATGGAAAAGTGCAAGTTGAGCATTTACTGAATTATGCTCGTTTACGTGGAATACGTGTGGTGGTGGAATTCGATACTCCGAGTAAGTGAACAACATGCCATTCTGTGTTGTGTCATGTCATCTACCATCTTTGAAATTCTATCCTCATATTCAGTGATCCATGTTATTAGCGATCTCTTGATTCTTCATTAGTCTCTGAATGAGACAAATTTTTATTCATTCATTCGAATCAAGGGGTTTAATGCTTTATTATGCAATAATTATTTCATCTCTAAAGATCCTCCAATTTAGACATTTCTCAGTTATGTAATCTGGAATTACATGTGTTGAGTAGAAATGTTTGACTCATCCTCTGGCCTTTGCCAATAATTCTAAGTTAGACAGAAATTGTGAGGTAGAATTGCCTCATTCTCTATATTATTCATTTTAGGTCATACAAGATCATGGGAGAAGGGTCATCCTGGATTACGAACACAGTGTTATACTGAAGGTTCACCAAATGGAAGAACTGGTCCATTTGATCCTACAAATACGACCACAATGGAATTTCTGACATCGTTTTTCAATGAAACCACTTCAAGATTTCCAGAGAGATTTATTCACTTGGGTGGTGATGATGTATCGTTTGAATGTTGGTGAGTAGTTTTCTGATCGTCTATTCATGAATGAATGTTGATCATGTCATAAGTTCATGGAACCATTCAGATATTGATGGTTTTATTGAGTATTGAAATACGTACTGTCGTGCAATGGTTCAGTGAATGAGCAGGAGACCCATCTTGGAATGATGGCCACATTTCAAACTTGACTGATAGAATTCAGTCTGCACCAAAGAAGGGAATAGACACATCACACTAGTTACTAGTGTCTGATCAATTTTATCAGTATCTTAGAAATTGATGAATCCATACAGTCTCCTCTAATTGCCACCTAAATGGCATCCACCGACGCTCGGTAATGATCGAAAACCCCTGGTGGTGTTCAGTCTCAATGTCTTAATACTTTTTAGTCAGGGTTAGTTATATGACATTGCTAGATATAGTCCAATACACTGGAAGTTCATGTTCATTCTTATGAATTACTGGAAAATCTCACCTCTTGATTGCCTTAATATGAATTGTGGAATGTGAGCATATTCTCAACCTTCAAAGTTGTTTAGCAGAATACCTTTCAGACACCACATGATACCTGTTAGTGCAGTATCAATCTTCACTGGTATTTTTATCAGTCTGCTTGATTTTATCCTTTGTGATGTCTAAAATAGACGACACACACATCTAAGCGTAGCAGCCAACCAATTTGAATTATATCACTCATATATCGATGACACTTTCAATATATCTGAAAGTGTAGAGAAGACGAAATTTGTTCGTTGTATTTTCACAAGCTATCTCCACTCCATTCACCTCACTGTAATTAATCAATTCATGGAAAGATAAGCAAAATTTAGTTGGGGGAAATAAAAATCTACCTCTAGGAAACTTCTTTACAATTGACAACCTATTGACTCATAAATCTGACTACCTTTTGGCTGAGAACATTATGCGATTTATATTTTCTAACATATTTGAAACCGTTTCTGTTTAATCAGGCAATCAAATCCTGAGATTTTGGAATTCATGGAGACGCAGGGTTTCGGCGAAGACTTTGGAAAACTCGAATCATATTATTTTGATGAACTTATCAAATCTATTCAATCTGTTCAACAGAAGTGGGGTCCTATCACACCAGTTGTTTGGGAGGACGCATTCGAGAATGGCTATCGTGTAGGTGGATCATCTTACTTTTTAGAATACTAACAGTTTGTGGTTTTTGATAGATACTTTTGCGTTCCTTTTGATGATTAACTAGTCTCTGTAGATTCTTCATCTATATATATTAAGAATTAGCAATGCGAATAGTTTAAATTATATTACGTTTCATTATTATTTATTTATAGAGGAATATAGGGCTTGTTTTCTCTGCCAACGTTTTCATCTGGCTCCAAGTCTGCCCACATGCTTTCATCTCCCCTTCACATCAACTCCTACATGTCACCCCACCCTCACATTGATGGCCCACTCATTGCTCACAATTCGGGTTCCACTAAAGCGATGGCCTGGCGTGTGATGTTACTTAATGGTTTGTTTTCTCACAGGATGGCCAATCCACCTCCATTTCCTCTTATATATTTCTTGCACAATCGGTTCCTGGTTGGTTCGCTCACAGAGATTCCTCCCTGTTGCTGATCTGTTCTGACCGGCCATCTGATCTTGAGTAGAATTGAGCGAAGACAGCCAGCTGTTGATGAAGGTGTGCAGTTTGTTCGTAGTGCCGTTCGTGACGCGCTGTCCAAATCTCTTATCCGTATGAGAGCACTGAATTCACATTGGAGTTGAAAATCCGGATCTTGATTTTCATGCTGAGTAGGGCTGTCTGTCGCATTATCCAGCCTACCAACCTTGATCAGGAAAATCATTGGAGATAGTAGGCAGCCAGCCAGCCAGCCAGCTTGTCTTACTTCCGTCTTCTTTTCGAAGGATTCCGTGAGTTTCCCGTTGTGGATTACTTGGCATGCAGCATTGTTGTGCAATTGTTGGATGAGATGTATAACTGTTGATTGCGTTTCATAGTCGTTGCTAGAACTTCAAGTAATTAGGTCAGAAAGAAATTAGGTCATTGTTCTCAGAACTTAAAGTTCATTTCCACTGGTCTCTCGTGCTGTGATGATCATTCTGAAACATGTATTGACCGTTACTGAAGAAAATCACCGATGCTTTTCTTGTTAAACGACAATCATCTACTTGAATTTCACTGAAGTTCATACTTTTTGGATATGAGGTGAACAATAGAAAATGGTGAAGTGTACTTAGGCTAATGTTAATCAGGGGAAGGGAAAGCAATTATTGAATTGAAAATATGTATTGCGTACTTGTTTTCGTGTGTCTGCTGATGCTTAACAGTAGATTAAAATATGAGGATTTTGTTTCACAGCTGATGTGTCATCTCCACTGCATTGCCTTGAATTTAAATTACGTTATCATCATATCTTACAAGATGAACCAATCAAATTAAATTCAAAATTTATTTTTATGCTAATCAATTATCGAAATTTTCTCATTTAGCCGACGAAGCAGAATCCTGTGTTCCAAGTATGGAAGGATTCGCAAAGGCAAGAGCGTGTCAAGAACATAACATCAGCTGGCTATCGAGTTATACTTTCCTCATGTTTTCGTATCTTTGCCAATAATTATGTGGAGCATTGGTACCCATACTACGAATGTGATCCAAGAGACTTCTCAGGTAAGATCCTATCAGCCATGTGAATCATGTTTCTATTTTGAGTATCCTCTGTGACTTCTCACTTCATCTTGGTATCACATTACCACTGGTAATAAAGGTGGACTGCAGTCAGCTTCCACACTATTTTAGCTGCATCCTGTTCTGCTCTATTTAAAATGGAGTGGTAAAAGCAAGAATGTACATCGACGCAAAGAATTACACTCGCTAGTGTCATTCATCGTCAAACTGAGAAGCATTACTTCCCTCTTTGCTCTGTAGCTTCAGAATCGACGTTGTTGTTTGCTGTCAAGAATCGCTAGTCTGACTGACGTTCAACCTTATCCCTTTTCGAGGTTTGGGGCCAGCTGGTGAACAGCCTGTGAACGATTAGGAAATTCAATAGAGACTCAAACTTCTTAGAAGTACACTGATATTGTCTACTCATCAGTGAAACTATGACAAATCACTGATGATATTGACAATCTATGCACCCTAATTATCATGATCTCGAGTGGAATGTTGTTGATAAGTGAGTACATCTGCCTGTATGGCCGTCATCCACTAATGTTTACTACTGATAGGTGGTAAATTGGACAAAGTTAAACTTTAAGCACCACTCACTACCAATGAGCGAATGACATCGAACGCACCAATCACGTGAAGGAGGCATTTTTGATTATCGAATACATAAATTCATGAAACAAATTGCACGAAAGCTGTATCAAAGTGTTACAGAGTATTTCGGCTTAAAGCGCTACTTAATCTTTCACAAACCTAGGCTGAAACTTGTCAAATATCTCATTTAATATTCTAACACTTCGATGAGCATGTTTAATTGATGATGACAGCATTATTTTCCAGGTTTAACTAACTTGATTAGTGAGTGTTTCAAGTTCATCGATGCAGTCACACTCTACTGGTAATTAATGATGTAAGGCAAGTGAAACAGGTTACGTCACAATTTGCGATCCTTCTTACATTACACACTACACGTAAGTCACCTAATAATCGAAAAGTTGGTCAGTTGACTAGGTAATTCATTTGCTAATAGCTAATGTCACTTACTTATTCCTACCATAACAAAGAGTTGTGTGGAATCGTTCTGCAAATCACAACATATTTATTCAAACATATACACCATTCACTTGATTTATATTTATGAGAAATACGCTTGTTTCACACTGACCTCAAAAAATATGTGACCACAAACTAATCCTCTACATTTCCTTGACTATTCAAGAATCAGAGCAAGAAAAGCAATTGGTTATTGGTGGTGAAGCTTTTGTCGTTGGCGATTTTGTGGATGATACGATTCTCTTCACGCGTTCATGGTGAGTTGTGTACTGTACACATTTCCAGATACAGGAAAATTCAGCATTCATGTATACGTTTTATGATGAATGTGTATATTCTTTAATTCATGCTATATACTACTGACCGAATGAAATCAGTAGTTTTGTACCATACCTGACCACCCTGATATTGACGTAGTTACTTTGGATGTTCTGAAAGGTCTGATGAATCTCGTGTGCTGGAGGAACAGCGGTAGATTGCTCGCCGACCACGATGGTTGGTCCAGGGTTCGATTCCCGACCACCGATGCACTTATTTACCTCGCTAAGCCAGTAGTAAGACTTTTGAAGAAGGAAGGTTGGACATGAGGCGGCTATCAAACTGGTCCTCTACAAATAATCACCACTTCTGCTGAAACTTCAAGCCGCTAGCTTGAATCCCTGTGTTACACTGGAAACGTAAAAGGAATAAAGAAACATGAAACTCACTCAACCGAGGTTATCCGATTACTGCAAATCTCTTGAAGTTTAGTGAGTTCTAGTTTATTCGACCGACTTGAGAGCCTATAGACTAGAAGGATCTCCAGATCATGCTCACATACGATACGAATGGGGATACAAATCTATCATCTTCATGACTTCGATAGTATTAAAACATGAATGATAAGCAACATCATCAGATGAAGTTGACCTGCACACTTTTTATCTACATTGGTCATATTAATAAAAGTTACTCAGTGAATATTTTTCCTTTACGTTCCCAGTGGAACATACGGCTCCAAGCTAGAGGCTTGAAGTTTCTGTAGCAGTGGTGATTATTTTTACAGGATGGGTTTACTAGCCACCTCATGTCCAACCCTACCTCTTTATTAATCTTACTACTGGCTTAGTGAGGTAAAGGAGTGCATCGGTGGCCGTGAATGTAACCCCGGAACACCTGCGTGGTCGGCGAGCACTCTACCACTGTGCCCCTGACGCACGACTCAGTCATATGAAAAGGAATTTATAACTTTATTCCTTGAACTACACACATTCTTTCTATTTTCATTTATTCATTCATTCTCAATAGGCCTGAAGGTGCAGTTGTAGCTGAACGTCTTTGGTCACAAGGTGAATTCAAAATTGAGGAATTTATACCACGATTAACTGAACTGCGTTGCCGCATGTTAGAGTAAGTTCATGTACTATTGAGATGATGAAGGCATTCTCAGATTTGCATTTCCTTTATAATTTATGGTTATTGATTTTCAATGAATGTCAACATTCTTTTGGAAAATCCAACCCATCTGTTTGCGTAGTGAATATCAACAGACTCGATAAAAAGTAGTCGACATTGGAATAAATATCACAAAACCTGAAATTCATCTTCATCACGTGACGATGAAGCGGGTATTCACGAACTGGGATGAAAATAATTAATTACGAAGATCTTTTATGTATTTATTCATCCGCTCATCCACTCTGAGCAATCGGTTTCAAAAATCGAACAGTCACCTGAAAGTGAGAAAGTTATGTTCAATGATTGCTGCTGAACCTCTATAATTGCCTAGAGTCTTCATGAAGAATTCTTCATGTTATAGAGAGAAACTACTCATTTCATCGTCATTTGAGTAGATTCTATTCAGAAGCGTTTAAAAAAGGAATTTAATTGGTATTTAGAGGGAATCTGTTCTCTTGTCAGTAAAGTCTAACTGATTATTATTATTCCCTTGGGTTCCGAGTGGAACATAGAGCCTCAACAACACATCTCCACTTTGTTCTATTTCCTATCGTTCTCTTCAGTTGAATCCACGATCGCCCATAATTTATCATCGCCTCTTCGCACGATCTCCTCCATGTCACCTTCGCACTGGCGACCCAATCGGTGCTTCATATTGGGATTCCACTGAAGGGCCTGCCGGGTGATGTCATTCGACGACCTCCTCTCCTCTTTTCTATTATCTCCCAGGCAGGTGTTCTTTGAGAGCCATTCCTTGTCTTGTCTCTTCTTTCCTCCCAGAACAAGTGTACACATTTCCTTGCACATCACCTTCAGAAAGTTGGTTCCAATGTTCTTCCACGTAGGTTTCCTCAGTGATACCACGTAGCATATCCGAGTTTCCTGAGATATCTATGGTAAAGTTTTCTTTTGTAGTTTTGTGCTTTAGTTTCTGAATGTTGAACCTGAATTACAGTGGTCTGTCTCCAGTGATTTCGAGGCATTTTAGCTTTACCCTGGAGGTACCTTGAAGTAGCTAGATGATGGTGTGTGTCCACATCTGCTTCCCTTCTCGAATATGTGTCCAGGAAGCTGGCTGCGTGTTTACTTCCTTGAGGAGTATTGGAATGAAGTCTATCTGGTTCGTGGTATGTCCGTCAGGTGAAATCCATGTTGCTTTCTGTAAATCCTTGTGTTTGTACACGCTGCTTTCGACCACCAGAACATTGGAAGCGCATGAGTCTGCGAATAATTCTCCATTCTCATTAATTTCGCCGAGCCAGAGCCTCTCGACCCATGATGAGTTCTCTTCCTGTATTATCTGCTCCCAGTTCGGCTGGCATTCATATTGCCCATAAGGATTTTGATGTCACCATTTGGGATGTTGTGCCTTATTGTTTGTAGTTGTCTGTAAAAATCCTCTTTCTCCTCTTGTTCCGTGTTGTTTGTAGCTCTGTGCGTAGCATTGCATGACCGGAGCGCAGTAGATTACTGACTCACCAGTTGACAATTTTGACAATCCACATCCATTCCATCTAATCTCGCAGATACCTAGCACTTCTATACCATAACTTCGCATCTCTTGGGCTACCCAGGCAGCCTTCCAGCCAGTCTCGTACATTGTACGGACACTCCACGTCTCCATTCTTATTGTTGCTTTCATCGAGAGAAGACATATTGGCTGACTGGCTTCGTGAAGGTGGTGTTCCATTTTGCCTCTCCGATTCGAGCGAAGAATAAGACTGTTATTTGAATTTTTTGCATTTTAGTATGTTTTTGTGCGTTGAATTTTCTGTAGCAGTTCGAATGGTTTTGTGGTAAAGAGTGCTAGCCCCACGCTCAACCCTCCCTCTTTACCCAAGCTTCGGACTGCCCGAGAAAACTAGCACGCTAGTTAACTAGGCGAGGTTAGAGTCGAACTAATAAATAATCCGAAGTAATTAGGAGGTCGAATCATTTTCCGTATCGATTCAGAAATCGTTTTTCCTCTTTTCTTTTTAATGTTCACAGTTTTGGATTAAATGCAAAACCACTGAACGAACCGAAAAGCTGTTTACAACTATGAAATTTGCATTTGAATTAACTGGATTTCGAACTGAATCAAATTCACCATTTCTTTATCAATCTGTGATGGATTATAATATATAATTTCCAAATATATACCTTCTGTATATACAGCTTGCTAAAATGTGACTTTTTGACTGACTATCGGTACAGTATCAATTCGGTTCCACAACATTTTGCCACCGAACGATTGCACCCTGCGATGAATCATTTCAAATGAAACTTATGCCACTCCAGTGTTTCCAGTAATTACGAAAGCATGAACTGCTAGGCATTCAAAACTTCTAGGGGAACACAGTGAACGTGGATCATTTGCAAACTACCAGTAGTGTTGTTAGCGTAGAATATTTTGTTACCATACAGGATATTTTTCATCCTGCTGACATGGTCATAACTGATCTGGTCTGCATATTTAGTAACTGTGATGCAATGGGAAGCTTTGAAACTTGGTAATTACTTTGATTAATCCATGAGAAGTTATGAGGATAAAATAATATTACTTATAATAAGAAGGATCATAAGGACATGATGGATGACAAACACACACAAGAAGATGACAGCACCAAGAATATGGTATTCAAGACATCAATAATGCTTTTCGAGTTAGACCATGGATTAATATCAGTTAGAGAACCACTGGAAACCAGCAGGGAGTACTGGACAGCTGTTTCATCCTAGTTTGGGAGTCATCTTCAGTACGCACCCACTGGGTTTCGAACCCAGGACCTTCTGTTACAAGGCGAGCTCGTATACCATACAGCCACTGGGATCCGACTTGCTAGTGTCTTGCTACAGGACCGAGTTTCCTGGAGTTCTAGTGAGAAGTCGTGACCAGTGAGGTCCATCCAGTCAAGTGTGAGGATGGAGTTCCTGCCGATGACATTGGTTGGTGATCACGCTGAAAATCTCGAATTGGTAGAAGTTAGAATTCATGGGCTGGTCATTGAGTCGGGTCCCAGTGGCTGAATGGTATACGAGCTAGCTTGCCTTGTAACAAGAAGGTTTTGGTCTCGAAACTCAGATGAGTCACAAACGAGGATGAAACAGCTGTCCAATACTCCATGCACATTTTCAATGGTTCTCTAACTGATATCAATCCGTAGTCTAACTTGAAAAAGAAATCTACTCCTGAAAATCAATAACGCTGCCATACACAGTGGAAACGTATGAAACTTCATGTAGAGTGCTTAGGAAAGCAGGAATGAAAGTGGTGTTCCAATCCAAAAACGCATTTAGAAACACTTTATGACGACTAAAATCATCCTTTAGAGCACATTAAATAAAATGTTATTGTATCCAATAGCGTGCAATGATTTGAGTTTATATACGTTTAATCTAATGTTGAGCGATGATTGTTAGCTCAAGAAGGAGGGCTAAAGATACGGGGGATTTCGATATGGTTGCTCTACAAGCAGATCCGATATTTCGATTAAATCGTGTATGCATTGGTTCGTAGAAATAAATGTATGTCATTGTACTTACTCATATCGTTCACAACAACAGCATACTTGCTGACTCAATGTCTTCACCTAATCAGTATTTACCATGAATAAGAAGGATATAGGAGGGATTATTAACCATAATACCCGGAGTGGGCAGCAAACTGAAGAACATCGACTGTGAAGAATTTCGAAATATTATTTGTACATATCCCTTTCAAGATTTGATGTCAAAAATGGAGATAGGCAATCGTGTAGCCAATTGAAGATGACAGTAGTGTGAAATCAAGATGTTCTGTTTAATCCTGATGTTCCACTTTGAAACCATGGGGATAATTTAACCCGCTTAGACTTTTGCAGTTCTAAGTTGATATACGTGTCAACTCGTATTCATCTCTGTACACTATTTATCAATATTAGCGCAAGATTTTACTTCATCAGACTTTGTCCTGTTTTGCACAAACTGACGAACTAAATTTTCACCATCCTTACTTGATAAACAAATACGTGTGTTTTAAACACTATGCTTAGTATTCTCCTGTACAATTTATAAAAACACAAGTCAAAGTTTTAAATTTGCTAAAAAATAAAAGTACTCTTATTGTTTCTAATAATTATGACAAAGGAGTACAAAGGTGACATGTGGTGCATAATGGTGATCAAAGATCGAATTTATGCTTCGAACAGAATCGAAGTATATTGGTTTTATACAAATCCAACCATATCTGACCATAGTCTTTTGTGTGATCTGACTTAATGTGTGTGTGGCAATACTCAACGAATACCATGGTGGATATCTGTAGTCTGTCAGTCTATGTTACTCTAAGTGAAACTGAAACGTGCTCAAAATGCCATACAGTGAATAACATTGTGTCATTATTCAACAGTGAATCAACACCCATGTAGTTAAATGCTATCACATACTAAACCATTTCGACTGTTCTGCTTCGTTTTGACCTCAGAGTAACAGACACTTGTTCACTGTGTTCATCTCATCCTTTCTGACTCCGCATTCGACATATATTGTTCACGAAAGTTCCATGTGGTATACATAGTTATCCTCCTCGGCTGTATAGTGATGAGCATCTTCACCTGTCAAATTGAAAGCCCGACAATGATTCCTGGTCGAGGAGCCGGCTTTCCGTCAGTGGCACAGCGGTAGAGTGCTCGCCTACCACGCCTCGTGTGGTCCGGGTTTCGATCACCGACCACTGGCGCACTCCTTTACCTCACTAAGCATATAGCAGAGACTGGTGAAGAGGGATGGTTGGAGGCTAGGGACCCTATCTTGTTACAGAAACTTCAAGCCTCTAACTTGAAGCTCTTTGTTCCACTGGGAACGTAAAGGAATAAAAATACATAGTTACATGACGCGCTCGAAATCCAGTCATAGTTTAGATGTGCCATGATATCTATAATCTTTAGATTATTATTGGGTGAATTTAACCAAACAGGTTTGTGAATCGTGAGAAGTGTAAATATGCAAGTTAGGAATAAATTGGTTAACTGTTCACACTACTGTCTGTCTGTCTGTCTGTTATCGACATAGGACCTTGCATCGATATGCAGCAGTTCAAGTCGCTACACTCCATGTAGCACACAAAGCAACAGAAGAGAGTAGAAGAAATGCATAATAGAGACAGTAGACAGGGATATGAGACAAAAGGAATAGTAATAACGAAGAACAATATAGTTTCATTGGAGAATATAAGTCACAAGAAGTGGATGCATGTGCGCCAGCCACTGACAACGATTTTTAGCCAAATCACAAATTGCAAAAATATTCATTCAGGCATCTATAAAACACAAATTGTCTCCAGCCATTGGCATGGGATAGCCTTGCACTTGAACACGCTGACGATAATCACCACGGGATTAAATACCTGGATATCTTGCAGCGAATTCTCTTCAGTCTAAGTCACTTCACTGAGCGCTTCTCGAAGCATAATGAATTCTCCTCCAATTCTGATATTACCGTGTGGTTGGTGTGTTGTCCATTACTGCTTACAATATCATCCATAGATGTCCTCCTTGGCCTCTTTGTCGGCATATTTCATGAATTAGGACAATGTTTTTGTAAGAGGAATGTGTGGTCTGAGTCACCTGCTTTGGCGCATCACTATGAGATTAAGATGAAAGATGTAGCAGTTGTGTGTGTATGTTTAGATTACTGGAATATTTTCAAACAGATACCTATCAGCTTGGCGTATTACTACTGTGTTCGGAATCTTTTCAGTTATTCAGAAATGTTGAGATTTGAAGTTCTCATCTAAAGAGGTCTGTGGACTGATGGCAACTCGTGAATAACAAGCTTTACGCTTAGTTAAGAGCTCTTGGTCTGGTGAGTTATATGCAGAGAGATTATATGTGTGGACACAGTCGTCTTAACAGTCTCTTCAAATAAAATTTGAGTTAGGTGTCTGTAGAGGATCAAGGAATTTTGTAAAATTCAATTGAGATTCAGACACTTCACTTGCAAAGATCAATGTGTCAGTCACAAGTCCTGCGGCTGGTTGATTCTACTTTGCTGATGTCAGGACCAATCAGATGATTACGGACGTTATCGACTGTGGAGACTATGCTTTCTGCGTTTTGCTGTGATTGTGTGTCTGTACATTCTTTCAAGTCTCTACTTAACTAAATACATTCTTGAACAACCTTAAGTTTTATATTTTCCCTTCTATGGCTCGGTTGGTGTTAAGAGCAGTGTGGCTGCTCTGCTGAAGTTAACTAGCTTGAGAAGTCAACCATGTGTATCCCTGAAACTCAGGTCTGTCAGTATAGACAGCTATAAAAAAATCATGAGCGCTAATTCCACTTGAGTTCAACAGTAAAACCAGCTTGGAATTGTTCAAACACTGTACTTAACGGATTTGAAAAGTCCTTTTAAGGTGACTTCTCTGAATGGTTGAGTACAACTGTGAAGAGTGCGAAATGCTCTCAATTGTTTTCTACTACGGATTTCTGAAGTATGAATACGTCACTTTTGCTGAGAGGTTGCATCATATATCAAATCAGTTATAAGGTTTGTTCCTGTAATCTGAGGTTTCTCTGTTGGTCGATATGTAAAATCACCAGGTGAACAGAAGATCATCTTAGGTGATTGGTGAGTATCTGACCTCAATGTGTCCATTGTATGTATAACTTTGATGGACTTAACTGTTGGTTAAAAGACATGAGTCATTAAGATGTTATATTGTCGAAGTATTTTTTTTAACCACTGGCAGATCAAATGAACATGTCAAAGCCAGTCAGAATCGGAAAGGCAAGAGACACATTCATCAATCTGAAATCGGATTGGTAGTCTTCTGGTCTCACTCAGCATAAAGAATAAGATTTAGATTTTCAACATCAATGTCAACTGAGTTCTCCTGTATTGGCCAGAAACTTGGTGTATCACGAAAAGCACTTTCGACGGGTTGTAGAGTTTTATCGACAAATGCCTTCGCTGACTCTCTTACTAAATTTGTTTAAACCTCGTAAAATATGACCTCTAATGGTATTATTTACTTTGGCGAGTTTCTAAAACGTTGACAACCTGATTATTCACACGTCTTTACTAAACTTGAGATGACAGGTTATCCCGAAAGCAGAGATAACTGTTTCTGTATGGTGTCCTTGGTTCACAAAATATACCCCTTAACTTCTTAC